TGATTTTATCAAAAATTTATTACAATTTATATAATAAAATTAATTTATTAATTTATATAATAGTTTATGATTGAAATAACATAATCTCATTAACTGTTAAATATTACTTTATTAATTAAATAAATGATAAAAAAAAGGGTAATTTTATTAGAACTAATTTGTTTATAGTTACTATATGCGGCTTTAAATTTTCTAACCTGTGAATTCAATTTTAGTTTATTTTCATTGTAACGTAAATGATGATCATCTTTCAATTTTTCAATTTGTAAATTTATTTATTTTTTTATTATTAAAAAAGTGTAATAATCTGTTGAAAAAAACCATACTTTTATAATTATAGCTATAAAAAAAGGGTGGTTTCATTGTAACTAATTTATTTATATTTATTAATTGCGGCTTTAGTTCTTTTAACTAATATTAACATGTGAATTTAATTGTAGATTATTTTTCATTGTGACGTAAATGATGATCATCTTTTGATTTTTAATTTGTAAATTTATTAATAAAAAAAAGTATAACTAATTTATTTATAGTTACTATATACAAGTTTCAATTTTTATAACATGTGAATCCAATTTAGATTATTTTTACTTACTGTGACGTAAATGATGATCAACTTCAATTCACAAAATTTATTTAAACAACTGGTGTCCAAAAAACAATCAATTGATATATTGAAATTGAAATTGAAATTGAAATTCATTGCAATGAAACGAAATTTCAATTATGTTTATATATATTTTATATAAAAACGGACCCTGTTTTGCCATATTTGCTAACCAAATTAGGACCTACTTCCTTCCTTTTTTGGAATACAACTTATTATTACAATGGCCAATCACAATAAACAACACTATGAAATTTAGATCATCTGATTGCTAACAACTTTGTATCGTGATCTGTATATATTGATAAAAAACGTATCATAACAAAACAATAAACAATCATGTGATCTCGTGCTATGATACGGATTTTTGTAAAATTATCTTCTAAAAATATTAAGTTTAAAAATTCCGTATACATTCCGCATGATTAATTTTTTCTGTATACATTTCTTATACATTAGTTTTTTTAAAAATAAATTGCTTATTAAATATACGGAATTTGTATACGGAATCTATAGAAATGTACATAAAATGTATACAAAGCGTATCCTTTCCGTATACATATTTCTTATAGGGAATAACTCATTATATATAATAAAAATCATGATATATGTAAAAAAGCCCAAGGAAAAATAATATGCTAAAATAACTATTGAAAATAAACAACTTTACATTTCACGTGTGTCAAATTCCACTTTTACATGCGAATTTTGATAACTTTTTATTATATTATTATATTTAATTATCAACAAATAGCTTATAGTAATAATAAACCAACTCCAAATTACTAAAAAAAATATTTATTAATTATTTAATTGTCAATTTCATTGTTTAAGATTGGCACAATTTTTACTTTTTTAGCATTAAATGTCCAGAGCGAAATTTAATGAAAATTGCATAGTTGGCAATAATACACAAATATTAAAACTGTGATAACGCAATATTTTTAATAAAAATCAATATAATATATGTAAAAAAACTAAGGAAAAATAATATATTAAAATAATTATAACTTCACTATGGAAAAAAATTGTACGCGTTTCAATTTCACTTGCTATATGTCTAATTCAGAATTCAATTCATAATTATTTGGTTGGTAAATAATTTGTCAACTTATTTGTACTAATAATAATTTCTGTTAATTTACCAACCACTTGATTCATTGTTGGTCTATTGTCTGGTTTGTTATCCAACATTCTAATCATAATGTAGAATAAAAATTTAATTTTTGTATGATAACTGACAATACGATTAATAAAATATTAAAAATTATTCCAGCATATAAATTAGAACAATCAGCAAAAGTATCTAAAACAACCATTTCTCTATAACCTTGCAAAATTTTCTTAATTAAATTACCATCATATAGTAACTTGTCTTTAAATGATCATCAAGCGCTTGATATTGTTAGTATCAGTTCTTTTATCGTTTATAAATATAAACAAAAAGTTAATTAGGGTAGGCAGAAGGTGTATATTAATAGATAAATATGACAATAAATAATGCAATGTTAATAAACATAAAATTATCTCCAAATAATAAATGACCAAAATATCTTCAAATCCGATCAGATGTGAATAAAGTATTGCACTCCCAATGGCAAATACGATCAGACACAAATAAAGGATTATGATGATATGATGATAAATAACAATAAAAATCAATGGGTTAGGTGTATATGACAACAAATGACAATGAGATAACCAAAGAATTTAATAACAATAAAAATATTTTATTAAATATCGATAAATGCCACTTAATATCTTAGTGATTTGGATATCTATCTAATTACATCAAAAAATATCGCATCTATTTATAAGTAAAAACACTAAACTAAAAATGTTTAAAATGTTTGATATGTACCATATATACCACATAGATCCTCCCGTTATATGACATTGATCATCCAACAGTAATTAATCGTCCCGGTAATTACCATTGATCAATGGTTATATCACGTGACTTCATCACATCATTTTTTATCATAACAATATCTCCCATTACAATACCGTATATATTGTCAATTGCACCTTATTGAATGAACCTGATTGCCTCTTAGATACTCTTTTGATTCTGCTTAATAATCCAAAAATTTGCTAATTTGATAGTAGTTTATTTATTTTAAAAATTTAACAATTAAATATATTACCAAATCATGATGCACAATTCCTTTATTGTGTAATAATAATACAGCACATGTCAACTGGTACACCAATTCGTATTTATCCTTCCAGGTGAGATTATTAGAGTTTTCTTTCAAATATTAATTTAGTGATCACACCAATTGATCCATTGCAAAGTTCTTCAACTGGTTCACTAAATAACTTATTTGTTAAAAACATAACTTTTGCTCCTTCTCTTATTATTAATTCAAATAGAAGATTAGTAGTGTAATGTCTAAATTGCTTGTCATATTCTTTTGGCATGCATTGTGTACAATTGATGTAATCACCTGCTATTGATCTTGAAGAAATATCTTTAAGAATAGGAAAAAACTGCATATTAAGTTATTAATTGAATCAGCTTCATATCAAAATCCATTAATATAAGTGATATTATCATTTTTAGATATAGAATAGGGACAATATTTAATTGGTCCTTTAGTTTTCTAAATTATTATTTTGCTAATAAAATAATACTTTTTTCTTAACTAATCTTTTTGTTCATAAACTTAGTATACTTCCAGATTGAACTTCTTATAATATATTGTAAAATAATCTACCAATTTCTCATTTTGTGAGAAATAGTTAAAAAAAGGAAATATAATTATTTCTTACACATGAGCATAAATATGAAACAAATTTAACACATTTCATTTTTAATGATATATGGTCCACTAACTATCCATTAACAGACCTTCAGACCTTCACAAATTGGATGTTACATTTTGTATGTTTATAAGCTATCAGTTTAGGTTGACCTAATCATTTTATAGTATTTGTAATTTTCAACCAAATATCTTTTGCACTATGATATTGATTCAACTTCATAATAAACTTTTTAAATCCAGAAGTAGATCGTATTAGAGGAGAATTTTTTGCTATAAAAATTATCATTCTGGAGTATAAAAAACCTGCTGCTCATTAACATGTTGAAGTTGAGCAAGATCACCAATAAGCAGCCAATAAATTTCAGCTATAGTCATAGTATAAGAAATCTGTGGAAGACCAAATCCTTGAACCATTGTATTAATGTGATGTTCCTTTTGACAAAAATAAGAAACTCCTGTGCTAATATAAGAAGCTACAGTTGTTGTTTTAGTTTCATTAATAATAGGACATTCAGTATGAATATTATTAGTAATAAAATCTGCAGCTGTTAATTGATATAATAAAAAAGTTCTATGTTGATTTAATATTTTAGTTCTATTCTGATGATTTCTTAACTTTAAAGTGATAAGTAAATATAATGAGGTCAATACTATAATAATGTTATCTAGAATTAGGATAAAGTAATATTGATTTTGTATAACTGCCTAAGCTATCTTTAAAGCACCAATTTGTATCTTCATTCATTTTTAGTTAAATTTTAAAAGTTTGCAGACAATAATTGGTTGCAGCAGCAATCTTATTTTTGAGTTCCCATTTTTTTATAAGCCTTTTTAAATAAAGGTATTTTATGCATCATGATTATATAAAAGCCTTTGCCATATGAAGGAAATAATAGTGGTTCAATATTTTTATCATAAAATGGTATTGGAAATTCATTATTATTAGGATCAGTTAAAAATCCAGCCATCAGTCTATAATAATGAAAATCTTCATTGTATTAAAATTATAAGGACTGAAGATGGATGTAAATTAGTATTAGATAATAAATGTGTATGATTTGAGAATTATTACTAAGTGATGTGGTTGGAAAAATAATTGGTAGTCCATTCTATATGCTACAATTTATTACAGTTTGATATGGTCTAAATAAGGATTATTATTACATAACCATATTGCTGCATCATTTAAGAATAATGACACTATGAGTTAGGCTGATTATTATCTAATATAGCACTAACAGTACTAGAATATAGTACAAGACAGAGTATTAATATTTTTGAATATTTAAAAGTTCCAATTAAGTGACAATAATTTGTGTAAATATTTGTATTTAAAGCTCTATCTAATAAACAGCTAAGTTGAATAGGTGAAAGGTAAATTTAGTGATATAGAGGCACATTATAGATTTCATAATCAGGAATTGAATCAGAAATTGGTCTTTTAATATGATTGCTTAGAATTATAGCAAGAAGAACATGTTGTAATTCTTTTAGGTTTTGTATTATCAGTATAAAAAACCAATTTAACATGTGAGATATTTTGATAAATGCTATTGAATAGATTCATCATATAATTCCCATCTTGCTTCTGTTGGATATAACAATTGTATAAAACATTTTATATTACACTCATATATAGAAAATCAAGCATTTATATATATAGTTATAATAGCCTTTAAATTCAAAATTTTTTTATAAATATTATTGATCCATCTTTAAAATCTGTGATTATGAATTAAAGTATCCAGTTATTCTCAGTATTATTATATAATTAATACTAATTTCAAAAGTTGCAACCAGATTGTTTTTACTAATGGAAACAAATTATATAAAGATAATATAATAAAGTTCTAAGAATGAGAAAACTCAAGATAGGAATATTGATGGATTAGTTTTTATATTTGATTATTATTATCATGTATCCATTTATTTTAAGGCTTAGTTTGACTTGGTTTCAGTTGGCTTAGTTTAACTTGATTGTTCTAATTGGGCTTAGTTGGACTTGCTTATTATTTGGGACTTAGTAGGCTTATACCTTTATTATTGGGCTTAGAAAAAAAACAAAATTATTTTAGTATAACTTAATTATCTTACTTATTAGTTGAGGCTTATTAGACTTATACTTTTATTATCAGGCTTAGAAAAATAAAATTATTTTGGTATAACTTAATTGTTTTAATTGGGCTTAGTTGGGCTTATTAGACTTATACCTTTATTATTGGGCTTAGAAAAAACAAAAATTGTTTCGGTAAACATTAGTACTTTACATCACATGCAAAATGCAGTTGCACAAGATTTCAATTTAGTTTCTAATTTGTCACATACAGTGGCTTCCAAAAAATACGCACTAAAATTTTTAAAATTGTTAATTGTATATAAAAAGTTATATTGCAAATTTGATATTATATAAAAATAATAGTTGAAATTCTTTGTTTTAATGATATTACATTAATATGCCATAGGCGCAATTGTATTTAGCATTTAGAATAGAAAATCTGCACATAATCCTTATCTGTTATAAGATAGTCTGATTCCAGTTTATGTTTTTAAGTTAAAAGTCCTTTAATATATTTTATTGATTTTTTATATTAATTTGTTTATAGCTAGTTCTACTATCTGTATATAAATAACATCAATTATCAATATAGAATTTTAGAGAAATTATAATTCCGATTTTTTTTTATGAAATTGACTTCAATTGTGAATTTATAATTATTCTTAATAATTCTAATATTATTTTTTGCTATATTTTTGTATTTTATATTCTGCTATCAAATTATTAATTAATATTTTAACTACTGTTTTTGTTGCAATTCCTATCGACACCCATCTCATGAATATTCATAGTATCACCATTCAATGTTGATTGTACAACTTTAGTTTACAGGATCTTTCAAAAATTTTCATCCATTATTAGCTCTGTTATTTAGCAATTCATGGATGATAATATTCTTTCCATTATATTATTATATTTTGCTCAAATATTAATTCTATCTTATTATTAATTGTTATATAACTAAATTTAAATAATTATTTTTTGTTTTTCTTTTTTTTTTCAGAAAGGTGAATATTTCAAGTATTATAACTTAATGTACTTTCTAATGTAGAAGAATGCAACTGAGGATGCTTTAGGTCATAATTCTCTGCTATAGAACATAGTAATAGGAAATTTGATGATTGAAAATAAAGATAAAAAATAGGAGCATAATATTATAATTTGTATTTGTATTTTGTTATCTAATATATCCAAATAGTTGTATTCAAACTTTATAAATTGATATAGTAATCTACTGTAAGTTGTGAAATTGTTTCACATTTAATCAAATACCTATTAATATATTGTTATATTTACTTCAATTTACCACGAAAATTTGAGTGATATGTCCTTTAAAGAAATTGTATATTGTGAAGACTACATGTCTACATTGGCTGGAATATCTACATGTTTTAAGAATATTTCCAGACCATCTATACTGGTTGAGTCAAATGCTTTGCAGATATCTTGAAAATCAATCCACAGTTCCTTTTGGTGAGTTTGCACATCTTCAGTTGTAATTGCATTAATTATATAAATGTGGTAATAATTATAGCAAAATTATAATACCAGATAATAATTTTTCAGGTATTTTAAACAATAAAGTTTTTTTCTCAATAATAATAATAACTAATTGAATTTTCAAGCTTTATAAGATACATTATTGTAATAAACCAAGGTTTTTCTCATAAGCTGTCTTGCTATAGATTATTAAATTTAATTAATTAAAATTTTCTAATATGTAGATATTTACTCTGTTATGTGCTTTTGACATATCTTGTAAAATAGATCACAAATTTTCATTTCATTTTAAAATAAATGATGGTTTATATATATACTAATATGCAGCATGTATTTGTAGGTCAGTAAAGTATTTACTATATAATAATCCACATTTAATGGTCTATAATTAATTTAAAACTAATATCATAGTAGTTATCATAGTTTTCATCCCACTTCAGTAAAGTATAATTGGTCATATGTTAAGTTATATTCCCATTATTTTAGTTTGGTTGGGTTTGGTTGGAAATTTTTGCATTTGTACATTATGATATACAAGTATATAAAATAAATATATATTGATTAACACTTCAACATTATAAAACTATCTACAAAAGTATAGGATAACAAGGTTAATTATGAAATTTGCTACTTCCATGTTCTTCTTCTTCATCATCTTTAGGACAGGGTTTTCCAAATATGATTGTTTTATTTTGAGGTCTAGTAAATTTTTGATTTATCATATTATTGTTGAATATATTTTTTTCATCTTCATTGTAAAAATGTACAAATCCATGCCTAAATATGAATCACTTCTTCTGTTGTAATATTTCTAAAGTTATTAATTAACTGAACAATGAAATATTTAAAAAGTATTTACTTGTAAAAATACTTACAGGCACTAAGCCAATGTCATGTTGCTATTCTCTTTTTGTCTGGTTTTTCAATATGAATAAAACTTTTTTCTGATATTAACCTTGTTATATGAGTTCTACCTAATTCTTACATCTTAAATGAAATATAATATATTATTAGAGATTGAGTATAAAATGTATTTGACCATCTTTACTGTTCATTGCTGAACAATTAAAAGTCAATTAATAATTTTTTAATCCATCTGGACCAGCTGCTGATTGTGTAAGTCCAAATATTGATTTTATATAAAAGTACTAGTTTCTTGGAAAAAACCTTAACAAACTCTTTTTATGTGAAGTAGTATATCTCCATTTTAGTTCTTATTTAAGACTTTTAATTAAGACTATTTGACATTTTTTGTTGGTTCTCATTGTTATTAAATTGGTAATAATAGTGATATATTAATAAAGTTCTTCTGACTATAAAAAATTATTATGTTTCTCAGATATTTGTCAAAATATTTTTATAAAAAAAGAGTACTACCTAAATGTAAAGTTAATTTCTATCACTTGTACTACCAGATTTTCTAATACAAATCATTATATTCTAAATTATGATGCTGCCAATAATTTCCAAAGTGTTATTACTGCTCTTTTTAATATATTTTGACATTTTTTGTTTACTGCAATAAATTTTTATAACTTAAATGTATACTTAAATTATGTGATTCCTGATTCTGATGAACTTGTTCAATTCATATTAATTATCCGATGATTTTTCTGAACTATTATTATCTGTATCTTTACCTTGAGTTCATCTTTATTTTTTTTAAAAAAAATAAAACCAATAGAATAATGGAAATAAGAATAATAAATTATAATATGCTTCAATTTTGAAATTTTTAAAGTTTTAGAAATGTTAACATCTCTTTTGGGGAGGTTGTCACTAAAGTCCATATAAAAATTGAAAATTGGTTTTTTTTATATAAATAATAAAAGCAATTGATCCATTAAACACAGTAATTTGAGCAATCAATGAGACAATGTAATGAGTGTCAGGGTTTAATATGAGTATAAATACCAATTATAAAGTTTATTACAATATTACCAATCCTGGCAAATTGTATTCATTGTGGTAAGTATTGTAATATATTGATGTCCTTATATAATAAATCCATAATAATGTCTATAATTTATTCATTATCCTTCAGTATTAGATATTAAAAGCAGTACTGATAATTTTCATTTTAATATGACATTGATTCCTTACATTTATTTTTTAAGTTGCAAAATTCTCCTATTAGTATTATAAGTTGCTGATGTTCTGAAAATTTTGAGTTGTCTATGATTATTTATTATATTTATGGTTGTGATGCTAACAACTTATATTAGGCAAGCGTTCAGATGTTCATCTTGCACTTTGAACAATTTCCAAGTTGATATCAAATATACAGATGAGAATTATTTGAAAATAAAGAATTTTAAAGCAGGAATTGATTAATTATATGAAAATGGGAGATATAACAATAAGAGTATTTAAACAATATATTTTTGTATGTAAAAACCATAGAAGAAAAAATTCGCATGAATGGCATGATGCTAAATTTACATTTTTTTGGATCTAAAGATTTTAGTTATATCATATTGAAGAATGGATAACTTGTTAATGGAAAATTATTTTTTTTTTAAGAAAAACATTTGGGAGATTTATAAAATATTTAAATTTTATTTTAGAAAAAATGAAGTGATTGAATATTAAGATGAAGAGAATTTATACTGAATTTATCATAAATAAAGATTTATCCATATTTATATTTAAATCTCATTTAAATTTTAGACCCTATGTTGTCCTACTATGTAAAAATATAGAAAAAGGTAAATACCAATATATATTTTGATTTATTCTGAGTATTAATCACTTCACTATATATATTACATAATATTTTTTTTTTTAGAAATAGTATATATGATAGTATAAGAATTAAAGGGAGGGAATATTTTTTAAAAAGAAATGAAGGAGGAAGGGATATTTAAATATTCTCATAACGAAATGTGGCAGTGCAAAAAAATTTTGTTTATCAGGCTAAACAGCAACTGAGCTTTTCCAAAAAAAAGTAATAACTGTTGATCCGTGATTAGTATTGAATATATTATTTCTTTGTTTAGTTGGAAACTGATTTTACTGATTAAAGATTAAAGGTTACAATTACATTATGTAAATTTTATTTTATATGTACGCGTATGGTAATAATTTATATTTATTTCTATTACAATATTACAATATGAGTTCATTATCGCTTAAATTTTAGTATTAAATTTTGCAAATTATATTTATAGTGATGAGTTTAATAGTATACATATATTGTTCATTTCTTCTAAATCGAATTATTGCTAAATATCACCACTGGTGATTATCATCTTACCAGAATCAGGGTAGAGTTTTGGGCGGAATTAAAAGTGACATGAAATTCTGCCCACCAATATTTGCTAATGCTGGTTTGGTAATAATCACCACGTGGTGATTTTTTGACATTTCCATTATAAAAACCATATGTCTGATTAAATTTTTTCTCATTATAAAATTTTTTAGTCCTTTCTTAATAGATAAATTACTTCTAATATACAGGAATAAAGAAGATTTATACTTCCCAATTTTATGATTGTAAAGAAATTACTACATCTTATAATTATTATGTGGTGCAACAAGTCTTATCAATTTAAATTTACCTATGTTTATTTATGTATTAACTATTTTTTTAGAATTTTTACATATAATTAATATAATTAGAATAGAAAGTTGAACTAGTGTTAAATTTATTTATACATTATACTCGTAGATAATACATATAATTTGCAATACTACTAGTTTTATCCATTGCGATTTTTTAACGGAATTCTGTGATTGATGCTTTTTTCAAGTTGCGAGATTAAGTTTTGAATGATTAATAACAGAATTATGCAATTTTTTCATATTTTTCAAACGTTTTTCGTTTTCCTTCTTGACTAAAATTATAAATAGATAATCTTTTTCAACGCAAAAAAATCTTTAGCTATCTTTTAAAATTTGATCTTGGTTTATAGTTTAAGGAAATGATGTATGTAAATTATAAGCAAACGTTTCTTGAAACTTTTCAAATAATACATTTGATTCTAATAACAGGAATCAATTTGCGAACAATTTATGCAGCAACAAATTTATGTATGGTATGACGCCTGATTACCCACTGTAAAATTGTACAATTGGTTCAGCTGCCGGATAAACAACTGAAATAAAATATTAATCTTCGAACGGATTAGAGATAAAACCAACAGAAAAAAGTTCAATTGGAACAAATGGATATCAAATAGATTACAACACAATATTCAGCTTCATCACTGACAGATCAAGGATAATACACTTTGCGAACAGTCAAAATAGTGAAATTATATGGCCTGGCAGTACTTATGCATAGAAAATATGTCGAAAAGTATTGTAGCTTTTTATAATTCAAATTCGATTGTTATTTAATTTCCACAAAAAAATCAAGTGCTACGACTTCACAATTTTATTGATTTAGTTGATGACGTTGAGATTTATGAAGATTGTATTAACTGCGAGTCTGCGACGCTGGTGTTATTAAAGGTTATATAAATGTCATGATTGCGATAAACTTACTCACCGAATAAGTTTTCAATCTAATATTTTATTAAAATTCAAAAATTTTGTACAGGCTTAATGGCTAAAAAAAAGTTGAATTATGGGAACATGTATTAAAATGGGGTCTTGTGCAAAATCCAACTCTTATTTCACAGATGATGATTTCGAGATGAAAATTTTATTATATCCTTTTTATAAATGATTATGATTTTAATTCCCAAAAAAGACCTTCCATGAAAGAAATTCGTAATATTTTGGGTGATTAGACTTTTAGAGGTAAAAATACTGAGAAATTTAATCAAGTGGAAATAAAAAGAAAGAAGCTAATAAGTTTGAAGAAACTTGGGCCCAAGTTTAGCGGAAGCCTCATCCATGTGCTATTTATACAAGTAGACCATTAAGCTTTTTTATTTCTAACATATAGTTTATTTGCTTTTCATATTAATTTTCCCATTGTTTGAAATTTGTAATTGAATATGTGATTATATTAACCGGTGGTTTACAATTGAGCGAACTTTATTTTAGTAAGAAATTTATCATTACAATATTTTTCTTTAGTGCTTTGTTATTATATTACTTTATAAATGTGACTACGTAACTGATGAGCAACTTTAGCAACTATGCTGTAAAATTTTACGTATATAAGCTAAAAAGAAACCAAAGTTACAATTAATTATTAATCAATACATAAAACTGGAAAATGTTCATTAATACCTTATTCAATATTCATCGCTATCTTCATCTGTACTTGAAGGTACTTCATCTCCACTTTCTTTGTCTTCCAATTTGGTAGATTTAATTTCACAATAACCAAACTCTCTCCTATAATCAGGTCCATCTTCGCTTTCACCAAAGTGTATTTCCGTTTCGTACTCTCTGTAGTATTTGTCTTCAGCTTCTTGAATAATATCTGAATTTTTGTATAGACGTCGTGCTTCTCTTCTCATTGCTTCTTGAGCTAGTTTCCTGGAGACAAAGCTACGACATTCAATTGAATATTCAACAGCTTTATACGGAGAAAAAAACATCGATAAGACCCAGACAGTTTTAGCTGGAGTTTTAGCTGGAGTTTTAGCTGGAGTCTTAGCTGGAAATAGACAAGAGATGATAAGATAATTAATTATCAAATAAAATATAAAATACAAAAACACTTCTAATACCTTTAACTTGCGAGTTCCCTGTTGACATTTCTTTCTTTTTTTTTTCTTATTGTTTATTGATGAACGATTTTCAACAGCGATAAGAGATAAATTCAATATATATATAAACAAATCAAGCGAAAAAAAATATCAGGAGTATCAAATCATTTCGATCTTTTATAGATTCTGATAAACGACATTGTGAAACCTGAATGTGCATGTGTTATTTCCTATAGAAGTTGATGCAAATTTTAGAAGCAATAATGACGTAGTTAAATACCCTTAAGATTTTAGATAAATACCATTTTGCAGATCATATATATTTAAATTATAATCCGTAACATATAAATTCCTAAAACCTTTTAGCTTCAAATGTTACGTTATGTCATACCTCACTAATTCACGTAGCCAAACCTGAAATTTTAGTGTCTCAAGCGTCAGATTCAGTTGTCTCATCCAGTTTTTTAACAAGATAATGGAAATATTTTTTATGGTAAGTTTATTGCCTTAAAACAGACAAGTTAAACCCTCAAAATATAAATTTTTCATTGTTCAAATAACTACATAGAACTTATAAGTCATTAATTTACGGCATTAATTAATTATTTATTTGTTATAGGTTTTATAATGTAAACTGAATATTTTATGTTATTTTATATGTAATAATAAGGTTATGTATCTTTAAATATCCATAACTATAGATGGACATATTGAATCATGATAATTTTATAATTGTTAGAAAGAGCTCAGAAAAGTCAAAGATTGTTCACAGGAAGCATAGCTACTAATTTTTAAGAGAATGATAATTAATTATCTATATATATTTTTCATAATTTCTCATTACTCTATGATTTAATTTGGATGTAAATGTTGTAAATTTATGAAAAATAAAGTTTTCTTTTTTTTTCGTCCGCGTAATTTCTTATATCACGTGAGATCGCAATTTGCAATTTATTGGCTGATCAATGTTGAAATTAAACCAATCAATGGATTTTTATCCATGCTCAATTTCTTATACAAAAAAAGGAATGTTTAACGCTTTATTAGTACCTAATTTAATTACAGAAGATTTTATTTAAATGACCTAAACAGTTCAAAGTTGTAAGAGTTTATAATATATTAGAGTGATTGCTTTAAATTATCATCACTTCTAAGATATAAGATAAAATGTAAATATTATTTAATTTTTGTTAATGTTAAAATCTTATTGAAATTCTGGTAAACATTATAAATTTTTTCTGTATGATGAAATTTAAGGTTTATTGAAATCGATGCAATGTATCTGACTTAATTCATTTTTTTTTGATTGCTTTAAAATAATGTTTCTATAATATTACTTTATCTACTAGTGACAAGGTTCGTTTTTTCCACTTTTATTTTCAAATCCTTGTATTCAAAGAAATTTTCACGAATTAGTTTTAATATCCAGGAGGATTTGGTGATTTTTGAAATTTTGCAGGACGAAGTCTAATGGACCATGGTAGCAGCAACGACATCAACAGCGAGAATCGAGTCAAGAAAAAATAGATGCATGGAGGCAATGAAATAGTGAATACACATTTAAATTATTTTTAAGTCAGTCATATAATTCGTAAAATAATTATCTTTAAACTTCTTTTCGCTTCATTTTTTCTATTAAGCCAAACTATTTAAATTGTCAAAGAAATGAAAGAATAAGATTTTACCGTGTGACAAATGAAACAATCATTATCAAACTTTCTATATCTAGTGGCAGACTATAACTGAAAATTTGACTAATATTTCAGTTTATTTATTTATTTATTTATTTGAATATCATTGAGAAGTAATAAAATATATTCATGTATTTTCAATTTATTGCCTTTAAATTGACCATTACATAATAATTATTTTATTTCCTAGTTCCATATTGAATAATTTTTTTCCAAAAAGATAAATAATAAATAAATCTAGTTATTTCTTTACAATTATGCAATTTGGTCGGCATCAAATTTGACCGAAATATATGAAACCTTAATTCCTGTCAGAATAAGACTCAAATTAGTATTAATAAATTTTAAAATTTTATGGGGTCACGAAAATAATAAACGATGATATTAACAAAATTTTTATATAAAATCGGTTTAATAAATCTTTTTGCAAACGAGTACACCAAAAATAATTTATTATAGAAAATATTCCGGCTTATTTATAAGGTAGAATGAATATTACAAGCAAGGTTTTATTTATTGAAGCAGGGGAACACTTTCTGTATATTAATATTTAATATGACATTTCTATTACTATTTTCTTTATGGTAATGATTTTTCAAAATTTTATTATCTTTATTTTTTTCATTTGAGAATGATGAAAATACTCAAAATATGAAAATAAGTTGGGATTTTCATAAAACAGGATTTGATTTTGGTTATAATTCATGATTTATATATAAAAGATCAATTATACGCTAATAATGATTATTGTAAATTCAAATATTTTTTTTTTTTTTTATTTAATAAAGGAAAAAAGTCATTAGTTGTACGTATGATATAATTTAGAGAAAATCGATAAATATCCTTATCCTTTTTACTATTGATTCATCAAATACGTATATACGGTGTATAAGTAACAGGGCGGACATCCCCATATTATCACGATATTGCCGATCATTTTGCCGATCACTTGTCCAATATTATCACATAAAAAAATACCGTTGAATTAGTTTTTTCACAAATTCTACATAATAATGTATAAAATTTCGATTTTATTTACTTTATTTTATTTATTGTTAATAAATTAGTTCTTAAAATAATTCATAA